ATAAAAAAATTCAGTGAGAGAATTCAGCTGCCTTGGCGGAGGTCTGTGCTCTCCGAGTGCTCTAGTTTCCTGTCGGACTCCCTGATTTGACATATATGCAGGAGTCCATATGTGACTCCCTGAAAATTCTGCCATTCTAACTAGTTCGTTCCAGAGCATGGCCTCGCGGAATTACCGTATGTTTTCAGTAAAAGTCCAAAGAAAATTTGGCACACGTGCAACCGCATGAATCTTAAAAATAAGCACATGCGTTATTGTTAATATCTTTCATTTTGAACTTCAGACTGCGGACTCCCTCATTTTGCTGCGGACTTCCTCTTTTTGAGGGTAGGGAGTCCGTTGGACTCCCGTGTTCAAAATTTAATTTCTACCCCTGAAAACCCACTTGTCAACAAACTGCCGCAGAATCCAAATTAGAGCTGCGATTGAGTTTTATAATCATATTTTGCATGGCTGAATTTCCTGCATATATAATCAGCTCTACCCTACTTACGAGGATAAACCCCCGCCCCATCAAACTCTCTCCTCATCTAATCAATCGCTATACTGCCTCAGGTGCACATTTCCAAGTAAAAACTTTATGTTCGTGATTTAATTTCGAATTACTTCTGCAGCTGTTGTCGAACGAATTCGCAAAAGTAGCAATTAGCCAATTGCTCATGCGTCCTGCACAGATTTACCAGCCAATGCATCGGGGCTCGAAGGGAAACAGTACGACGTGAGCTAACGCCCACTCCCTAGCTCCCTTCAAATACGCACGTGGGCATGCAAATACAACGTGACTCAATATAATGTCAACATTCACGGCAAATAAGTGGAAGTAACTCGAGCTTGTCACGCTGCTTCAAGTATGCAATCGTACATATGGCCAGCTGCAACAGCAATAATGTCTACACTTCTCATATTGCCAGACCTTTTATCAGAGATGATTGCTTTCCCCCAGTCAAGTAATGTCCCAGCTTTATGTGAGCAATGGTGTGCATGTTTACAAATGATAAAATGCAGCTTGCGAGCTTCACTAAGCAGAATTTCTATTTCATCAGCCAGTAACAGAAGGAATTTTCATTCGGTTTTACCCAATTCAGTTTTACCATCACTTTGGTATCTATAAGAGATGCAAATACTGCCAGAGATAAATAACACATCATAATCATCCAATTAATATAACAAATAAGGTTGTTGTTATCACTTACTATGTAATAGCAACAGTATTAACAGATTATTAATGCAGTCAAGTCACACATACCTTCCAACAGCAAGCTTCTTTTCTGAGTCATCAAAAGCAATGACTTGTATAGCCTGAGGTGTATACTGAAAGAACCTCACTCTATGCACCCTAAAATCACTCATGGTCTCTGGTAAGGACCTACAAGTAGAAAAAAAAACATGTAAAAAAAAACAGCATATTATTTGGCATGTAACCCTGTAAATAGTTCACTGAACATTCACACTAAATAGGTTTACAAAGCACATGATTAATCCTACACTACATAACCTATCTCTATCTAGATACTGAGTTACCTCATCCCACCCAGGGACTTGTGAGATTAATGATTTCTAAATAGTAATACTATATATATACAAATCAGGAGTAGATAATAGGGAATAATAATACCATATTATCTACTCCTGATACAAATCTACCGCGTATGGTGAACACAACCACTTGCCTATGCATAACTTTCTCAATCTGAAGTTTAAGTAAATTTATATAACCCATACATCTATTATTCCACAGTGCTTGCCTGACACAATAACTTGAGAGCAACTGCTTGTTCCTACCATGGAGCTAATATGGAGCCAACATGGCGCCATAAACTATATGCTACCAGTTTGTTTGAAATCTCTTAATTGTGGGCTGGTATCACGCGCAGCCAGGCTGCGAAGGCATCCGACCGCTCTTCTGTTGTTGACCTGATTTGAGACTCAATCGATTCCTATACTAGCATATATATATAAATGGCCAGTTAGCTTTTAAGTGAATAGCCGATGCAATCTCAACTGATTCTTTTATGGTGGCAATTAAAGCATACGCTGTTCATTGATTCCGACTAGTTTCGATACGGCCTTGCTGCCCCTTAAGAGCTGGCTTGGAAAAAATACAGACGTTTCAGGTAGGTTTAACAATGGTTGCATGCAGTGACCATTCATCAGGAAGACGTCTGGCTTCAGTTATCTAACAGCGTGTGACATGATGCGGATGAATTTTGTGTAGCCCATAATTCCAATTCCTACTCCTACGACCTTAATCCTAACCCTATTAATATTGTTGCGTGCTGCACAGCCACGAAATCAGAGCCACAACCAGAACCAGTGGAGAACGCTTACACAAGCATTTATTGAGCTACACAAACGTGTGCTCCGTGCCCTGTCCACTGCCCAACTGCCTCGTGTACACACGTGTACGCTACACCCATCTATTGCCGAGTATAACGATGTACGGTAGCAAAAGTAACGAGTATACGTACCTAATCTAATCTACACTATGTGGGGCATAGCAATATGACGAATTGTTGATCCGCCTAGCAAAGTGAATGTGGCACGTATACCCAATGGCATCACAAGAAATTAAGTTAGCCAAGTAGCCGTCGTTGCTCATCGTGTAACATTTGACAGGTTACATGTTTTAATGCTTAAATGCTTACATTCTGATTTGTTTGGACATATCAGCATCAATTTAACAGGATCCGGCACAGTGCTGTGTAAAGTACATAATTTAGATCAATCCGACTGGGCCTAATAAGAAAAAATATTGCTTGTTTCCCCTTTACCGACCGACTCGCCAAAACGCCGCTACTCGACACATTTTATTGGCCGATTAAAACAAAACAAAAATTATTTCGTTTCGCCAAAAACAAAAAATCAAATTCGTTCCGCAAAAAGATATACACAATATACATACACACATATTGTCAAAACAAAATGAAAAAGATTTTTCACCTACCTACCTACTCGGTACCCTGAGAGGTGAGGAGGTAAAGGGGAAAAAACAAACAATTTTTTAAGGGTGGCCTTGTATAACTCCAGTACATGCATCAATGTCATCATCAATCATTGACATAATTCATCAGTAACAGCAACCTAATCATAACCCTCATGTATTGCTAAATTATATAGAATTGAACTAAATTATGTAATTGGCACTGCATGTAGTGTACATGCAGTTTGCTGAAGTTAAACAATTTCGAACTTGATGCCAAAACTAAAGCCTTAATTAGTTACAAGCTTAATTAGATTAGATATAGGCAGGTAGTTTTTAATTTAGCAGCATCACTCAGATACAACAAAACATGCATATATATGCAACACAGTGATACTATATAGCTTGGCAGTAGATACATCTGACAGTACAGGGATGAGATTGGATAATTATTTTCAGCTGGAAATTTGACATTAGAAACAGGGGAGCGAGTCATGCGAGGACCGGTAGGTTCATCGCCGATGCGTAGGGGTGTCCGGGGCGGAATTTTTTTTAAAAGAATGGTGCAATTTTGGTGGCGTATTCTAAGCTATTCTGAACACATTATGAGAGACTCTTGAATCCCTTTTCAAGTTGAGTCAAAGGAACAACGAACTATAATAGGAAGAATCTAGGTGGCTGAATAGGGCAAATTTGTTTATTAAGATGTCTTAGACTGAATGATGCTTTTTCTGTCTTCCAGCCCGTCGCTTGCGTGTTTCTTACTCAGGACATAAGCTGCCTTGCTGCGAGCGCAGATTTGATATGCAAAAAGAACACCAATTGGCGAATGAGACACAGATCAGTGCATAGTCATGCACACAAGCATGCACCGAGCCAACATGTAAACCTGGTCCCAGGTGCATGCGCAGGTGTCGTTACGTGATTAGCTACTCCAAATGTTTTGCCCCTCTACTCAGCCTGTGAACGCAGGATTTTTTTCTTGGTTAACGCACTAAAACAGATACACTGTATACTTCGCTGGTCAGCCTACTGTCTACACCGTCGGTCTAACAGTCAGGTGCTTGTATGAGGGTAGTATAATTTAATTGTTACATGTTACCGCCCTCCCAATTTTCTACTAAACGGATTTAGAGCGTTTACACAAATCGACGGCCCCTGGGACTGTCAAATCTGCGGATTCTCCGCGGCATCCGCGGTGGAAGAATCTCATCTAACGCTGGACTATAGTCCTACTACAAAATTCGCCCGTAAAGTGAAGATTACCGGGTGAGGAAACATCAAAAATAAAAAAGGAACACCGATCTAAAGGTCCCGTTCATAATACATAACAATACACTAGGCCTGCTAGCCAGTACGTTGATATGTTGTAGGTCTATCTAATTATGCCGTGGCCCTGTACCTCGCCTACTCCCTAACCTTGAACCAACCCTAACCATATCAGTAGTTACCATGCAGGGTACGTCGTCCGAATATATCAAACCGTACCCAGGGTACCCTCCGATATCATAGTACCCTGGGGGACATAGACCCTATGAGCCATACTAGTGCTGAGAGGGTCTATGTCCCCCGGGACTGCCGGAGAATACCCTGGGTACGGTCCGGTCTCACGGAACGTACCCAATGGTACTATCTAATGCTCCAGACCATAACCTCGCCTACTGCACATTAACGAGTCTAGGAGTCGCCTACGCCTACTCCCTAACCCTAACCATATCAGATAGTTACCAGGGTACGTTCCAGTATACCGGACCGGACCCATGCAGGGTACATTCCGGCAGTACCCTGGGGGACATAGACCCTTTGAGTATGAGCCATACTAGTAATAGTATATCATATGTGATCACTGCTACTGTAATAATGAGTTTCCTATGACCGTCTGTTATCCGGCTTAGAGAATCGCGGCTCATATCGTATATAAAGGTTACCCAACAATTAAGTTACGTATTTAAAACACAAACATATTTAATGACCACAATATAATACCGTAGACGCCCCTGTACTAGGCATCACGTGAACAGTGTCGTACGCGGCAATAAAACATAAACTTACATGACAAAGATGATTCGAATACGCTGGCACAGCACAGTAACAGTGACACGTCTGTATACGGCTAGCAAATAGTAGCTAGAGGAGTGTAATTTCAAGATACAAGCGTTAAATATCCGTGTCGTCTCATTGTCTTAGTCCTGGTCACGCGGGTCACCTCGGCCGCTACCATTGGCTAACTCGATCGTTCTATTGACCGTTGCCGTTGGTCACGCCTTTGACCACGAACAAATTATGCCTCTCTGCTTCTGTTCTGCACGTGCGTGGTCAAGACAAAGACATGCTATTTGTTACTTTCAATTATTATTACCTGGCACCTCTTATATTTCTTACACCTCTCATATTTCTGTATTTCACTACGCCTAGACTGAAATTCGTCAACAAATTAGTCGTGTAAAACAATTACTGCGAGTCATATAGACAACTGTAAACCGTGATAAACACCGTGACCGAACCGTGCAGTGTACATGCTTGAATGGACAGCATAACTAACCGTGGCGAATAACAACAAAAAGTCACGATCAGGATCACGCATCATTACTCAGTATTGCAGAAATGTCATTATTGACATTACTACTACTAGCCTTAGGCCTACCGTATTCATTACCATTCCTGAAAATGTTATAAAACGCCATAAACATAACTGATCGCACTCATAACCAGTAATAAACACGTTTCGATATTAGTCACGACTGTTACCTGCTAGTTTCTAAGCCGTTCTCTGTCGCTTTGGAACAAAAGCACTGCGAGTACGATCAAACTGAAGCGCACGCAGCTTTAAGCATGATGCTTCATGGACGCTGCCATTATGGAGTTGGTGCGCCCTCTATGAAAATTAACAAAAGTGAACTGTTCTGTAGCAGGAGGGAGATTAGAAAACTGTTTATTTTAGTTACGTTGTATTAATACCGTTGTATTTACGTCTTTATTTCAGCGAAATGCAACGGGAAAGATTAGATTTGAGTAACAGAAAAGTGTCCGGTGGTATATGGTTAAGAAAGCCGGTCCCCGCATTAGATGGGTAAGCAGAAAAGCACAACTACCGCTCATAGGGTCTATGTCCCCCTGGTTACTGCCTGAACTAGCTCTAGTAGTAGTACTATAGCCCGCGTTCATTAACTGCCGCAGGGCTATAGAACATTGTCAGCTCGATTTCGCTACTCCAACCTGTCACCACCTGTCCCCACTCAAAATGGCTCACAAAACGGAAAATGGTCGGACTTTTTAACACTTATTTATCTACATGGACATCTCACCTATCTAAGTATCTTTTTGAACACTTCCACAACTCAAGTCAACTTTACACCATGTATTTATGCATTTATTCCTAAAAGTCTTAGCACTACTGGTGTTTCGTTATCAAATGCGGTTGCTCTGCTTATGTGTATACGCGTGACGTCACCCGAAATGTACTACTACTAGGCTGAATCATATAGCTGCCCATGTGTTTTGTCTACATTTCGGGTGACGTCACGCACATACACATAAGCAGAGCAACCGCATTTAAAAACGAAACACCAGTAGTGCTAAGACTTTTAGGAATAAATGCATAAATACATTGTGTAAAGTTGACTTGAGTTGTGGAAGTGTTCAAAAAGATAGGTGAGATGTCCATGTAGATAAATAAGTGTTAAAAAGTCTGATCATTTTCCGTTTTGTGAGCCATTTTGAGTGGAGAGAGGTGGTGACAGGTTGCAGTAGCGAAATCGAGCTGACAATGTTCTATAGCCTTGCGGCAGTTAATGAACGCGGGCTATTATAGCCTATACGGGTCCCCCGCCCCCTATACTGAAAGCGGGCTATAGTACTAGAGCTATGCCTGAACGTACCTTGGTAACTATCTGATATGGTTAGGGTTAGGGAGTAGGCGTAGGCGAATCCCTAGACTCGTTAGTGGAGTAGGTGCGATACGGTCTGACATATTCGATAGTACCAGGGTACAATCGTTCCGGTATACCGGACCGTACCCAGGGTACGTTCCGGCAGTACACTGGGGGACATAGACCCTCTCAGCACAACTACCAGGCATTAGTTACTCGGTCTCGGATAGCTCTAGTAATAGTAATTTACCAATTATTAGGCCTACATGTGATGTGTATGCATCATTGCAGGGGGTTATAAGTCACTGTTCATGAACACGAGATGCACGATCGAAAACTGTCGCATTTCGTATCTCGTTCGCTCGCGCCAGTTATTGCGTGTTTCCTCGTGTGCCATACCAGGTTGATGCTTGAGATCACGCATTCGGCCCCCGGCAACCATCCGCTGGACAGCAAGAACATCAGGTTTCTGCAGCTCGCGTATGATGATGTCGGAAACAAAATGCTCACTGCAGACCAGTATGGTGACATATACCTACTGGACTTCAAACGAAACAGGTTAATTCAATTCACTTCAATTTAATTCAATTCAATTCACCGTGTTTACACTTATGACAACTACATTTTGGAGGTATCATTTATTGGTGAAGCAAATAAACCATACACATAATGTTGGCTAAAGTACCTATTTTTTCGTTAAAAAATCTTAATTTTATATGAAGTTTATGTACTGAAATATATCAATATGCCAGTATACGTGCTGTGATCACATTAGTTCTATCCGTGTAGCCGTTTGCTCCAACACAAGTGCCCGTGGCAGAGTGAAGGTCTACACTGAGCTATTATCCTGTACACATTTTGTGCAGTGAAACATAAATGCATTTAAAACCTGGAAGTAATGCAACCCCACACAATCCACAATTTTTCTTGCTATCGGCTGAACACATGTTGGACTACTATAGGATTACATGATATATGAAAAAATCATGTAATGCACAAATTCAACAGTCTATGAAGATATAGTTACTTGAGAAGTTTATGTGCTACCCGAAAACTTGGCTGACGTTAGCCCAATACTTCATTTTGCGAATGCATGTTTACGTAAACAAACTGGAAATCTTCTCATGCAGGTTCCGACACTTACAGCACCTGAGCAGTGCTTGTACGGCTCTAGCATTCACCGCTTCCGATTCCAGACCGACAAAATACCTCGCCGGCCTATCAGACTGCAGCTTACGCTGCGGAGAAACAGGTAAAGTCAGCATGCTCTGTGTGAGAGGGATGAGGGGGCAGAATGGCTGGATATCTAAATGTCATCATTCATTTCAGGCATTTCGATGCGGCGAGATTTTGGTCTCGGCAAAAATAACACGAAATAATAAAATTGACGCCTGAAAAGTCGGGTTGGAATTTCTTGAGAGATAGGATGGTGAGCCCTAGAGCTCTATATTGCGACCTCCGATACTTTTTACTTGTCCCTCTGGTGCAAAGCATTAGAGTTAACAAGTACGGGGGGTCGTTATATAGTGCCCACAGTACATAACAAACAAAGAATGTGTGATGTAGCATATCTGACTAATGAAAAGGATTGTGATATGCGCTTCACGCACATAATTTCAAATGTACGCCTCTAAAGTTCCCAGTTTTACATGTTTGAATTTTAGGTTATGGACCACCCTGGTGTAAATGTATAGCCGATCTTTGGCTAAATAGCTCTTGGCATCCTTTAACACGCGTATATATAATATCATATATAATATTATACAATTTATAATTACACCCTATAACCACCATCCTATAGCCGGCGTATATATTAATATAATATCAGGGTGCAAAATTAACGCGAGTCCGTAGTTAATTACTCCCTGCTATACTGTCGGACTCCCTGATTTGACATATGCAGGAGTCCGTGTGACTTCCTGAAAATTCTGCTATACTAACTAGTTCGTTCCACAGCATGGTCTCATGGAATTACCGCATGTTTCCAGCAAATGTCCAAAGAAAATTTCGCAGACGTGCAACCACACGAATCTTCAAAATAAGCACATGCGTTATTGTTAATATCTTTAGTTTTGCACATCAGATTGCAGACTCCCTCATTTTGCTGTGACTCCCTCTTTTTGAAGGCTGGGAGTCCATTGGACTCTCTTGTTCTAAACTTAATTTCTACCCTGTAATATATAATATTATAGTATTTATAATTATACTGAAGTATGCCACCAGTCGCGATCGGTCAACGCAGCGCAAGGTAATCGGTAAAGATATAGAAAAACAAGTGCGCGTCCGTTGCAGATACGGGCGCGGTCGTCGGGTGCATGAAGGGACACGCGACACCGATCCACAGCATCTCGTCGCATCGCCATGGCGACCTAGCCGTGACGACGTCACATGAGACGGCCATCATCTGGGATCTGTGCACGTTTGCGAAGCTACGCAGGCTCAGCCTCCGGCAGGAGATCGACATCGTCAAGGTAACGCAAACAAGAGAACGCCACGAGCCCGGACATTATTTCTCGACGGACCCGATTTACGACGTGTTATGTGTTAACTATTAAGATTAAGTAGTAATCACGATTGTAATTCTGTCTCTATTTCCTTTGAATAATTATTAAGTATTTCCCTAATTCCTTAGGCAGTGAATAATTATTAATGCCGATCTCGTAATGAGCTGTAATTATTCGTTTAGGTCATTAACGAAGGATGTATAAAATTAGGCAACATATTGACATTTTCTTGTGTGTATGTGCCTGTGCCTTATCTCTGTGTCTTTAATTGTTACGACAGGCGCTGTTTCTACCTATGGGAGACATGGTGTTGACGTCCTTCAGAGATGGCTCCATGTTTGCGTGGGCATTTTCCGTTCACAATCTGCAGTGTCAGTTCCAGCTGCCGAGGACACAGTGCGACACACACATCTACACCTGCCTTACAGTGTCCAGGTCTGCAGCTAGGCATTACACTGTCACCACTTATATTACGCAGTGGCTACGCGTCCGGTCATCCATTACAAAGCTCAGCACAGATTCCCGAATCCACGTCACGATTAGGACACGCCACTTTTCAATTCGTTAATTTTACTGGATTTACTATTGCTTCAAAAGTTACAAAAACACATTTTTTTGATAAAATACCTAAATGTAAGTAATATTATGGTAAAAACTTATTGTTTATTGTTTTTTACTGAAAAAAATATAGTTATATAGTTATATATATTATAGTTATATATACATAAGAAATATATGACCGGATGCGTAGCCTGGGAGCTGGGCGTCCGGTAACCGGACGCGTAGCCACGGTCTTTATATTATTATCACTTGCCATCTACCCTATCTCTAACCAGATGTTGGAGATGCCACGATTATACTAGATATAACCTACATGAATGATGTAATGACAAAGCCAATTGTTGCCTTTCAAAATTTAGTGGGCTTAAATAATATAATAAGGAACAATGGCAAGTTTAAGGGTCACTATGGCAGAAACGTTTCCTTCAAAAAAACCTTATTAAGGCCAGTTACTTTATAACAATGCTATTTATGTGGGGTAAAAAGTAATAGGCCCTATGTATAATACATGGGATATATGTGAGAAAAGCACAGAGGCATAGCAGAGCCATAAGACACCCGCCATAGGGGTTCTTTTCCACAGGGGCCGCAGAGCCATAGGGGTTAATTCTCTGAGAAATGAAAAAAAGTTTTTACATTAGGTGTACAACCCCGGTCACATATTAGTCACGAGTTCCAAAAGAAGAATTACAACTGTACAATGTAGAAATGTAAACGGGCTGATATTTCAACAACAAGTGTGGACACGACACACAAGGAATGTTTTAGTGGTGCGCGGGGATGAGTATTTGTTTACTCTGGCCTCCTCTGTTTGCCTAGCCAACAGCAACCTTACACAGTAATAATGCACGTTAGTACGATGTGAAAAACAAACATTGCAGGTGAGAAGAATTTTTAGATGAGTTGGTCACAATATCGCAAGCATGGAAGTCATTTTGTTCCCGTTTTCGATAAATTTTATTGTTAATGAAAATGTTACTTCTCATTTTTATTCTTTGCATTGTAAATCGCGTGCGCATGGTGACTGACGTTCCTTTACCGCGTCTGCATTTGCAGCGACGTGCGATACGTGGCGGCTGGAGGCAAGAATAGGAACGTTCATGTGTTTGACATGGAGGCACGCACCCTGTGGCGCCTCCTGGAAGTGCCGGCGGTCAGCGGAGCGGTCAAACAGATACAGTTTGTGCCCAACCTTTCGCTTGTGGAATCCAACCTGGTATAAGTGGACATTTATCTAGATACTCTAATTTAGTAACATGCTAGTCATTAATCTGGCCTGGTCTATTGTTCTATTTGCATTAGCATTCTTTTAGTACAGTGCATATGGTACCCTTATACCACTTATACTAACCCTAAACTACTGTCAGTATTTTAAATAGTTATATTTTGTAAAATGTTACCCAGGTTTGTGGTATTTAGTTGTATTTGTGACATGTACGTATTTGACAAATTAGATCAGTGACCCGGTAAATTATGATATTTGCAGAACTAGTCAATTATGTGGTAGTGTGTACTCTTACTATCAGGAGTCTATCAATATATCTATATATATATCTATTGATAGACTCCTGTTACTGTTATATACTTATGATAGAGTTAAATTATATTTCATCAAGGTTTTATTTCTATAATCACATAAAAACGTTTAGTTGAATGACATTAAATCGCCATTTAAAACCCCCTCCCTTCGTAATAAATTGATCGATTAATTGATTGATTACTTGATTGGCATTAGGGGTGAATAAAATCAAACATGGATGTTTTACAGCTTTTTATTCACTCCTGATGTCATGTACGCGCACTTGTGTGCATCCCGACTCCCTCACATGCACTTATGATAGAGTTGAATTTTATTTCATCAAAATTTCATTTATATTAACGACATGTCAAATCAACGATTCCTTCTGCCTTCGTTATGAATTGATCGATTAATTGATTGATTAATTGATTGGCATCAGGAGTGAATAAAATCCAACCATTCAGATTCTTGCGGCGCTGGCACAAGAGGGCGTTGTCTACTTCCTGTGCGCCGCGTCCTCGCTCGTTCTCTTCACGGTCGGTGACATCGACGCTGTACCGGCGGAGGGCGGACGTGTGCTCCAGTTTGCCGTGAGCAACAAGGGAACGTACCTGCAGGGGCTGATGTCGTCGGGTCACATCCGCATGTATGACCTCGATGCGATTGCTGCGAGGAGAAGCGTGCAGGTACTGCTTCTGCTGCTTATGTTTCTTCTAACAGTTAGGGTTAGGTTACGGTAAGGCAACGTAATAGCCAGCGAGCCGTGCAGCCGTGATTTCCACGGTCAGTTTTGAAACTGCACGGCCAAAAATGTGTAGCACGGTCTAAAATATTGATCTAAAGCCATGTAAATTGTAAAAATTGCACTCCCAAATATTTTTTATGCACTCCCACAATACTCATTCCTGGCTAATACCCTGCGGCAAGGTAACTGTTAGGTTCTTCTAAGGCAGGGGTTCTGCTCGTAAAAGCTACTTTTGTGTGTGGCTATTATTATATTGTGTTGCAGATGCTGCTGCTGCTGCTCAAAATCTCAGATTTTTTTACACAATTGTTACACAGCATTATTCTCTGTTAACAATTGCCAAAAAGGTGCTCTACAGCTTCCCATAGCTTAGGGCCTTACCATGTCTAGATTGTATGTTGTTAGGTTGTTATCTTCACCCCTACATAGGATACGAATTGCTAGTAGCATCTCCTTATATCATAGATTGAATCACCGGCGAGTTATTTCAACCGTGGAACCATGGCAACGCTCGGCATTGGTTGCCTTTTTTGGAGAAATGTCTCTGCCAGGGGACGTGCATCGATGGATGTTCTTCTGTTTTAGAGAGTCGCTGCGTCACTGAGGTCGGCAACGCCCTCTACCAGGCGGTCATCGTCCACTGCAGCTCCACTAACCGGACGGCTGACCGACAGTCCCAGCTGCCCGCGGAGGAAGCTGCGGGAGAGGAGGAGGGCTGCGTTTGAGGAGGTTGAACGCAGTCCAGCGCTGACCTATGACAGGAAGAAGTTGGCCATACTCTTACGACAATATGGGGAATATCCTGAGAAGTACAGGCAAGCCTGATCGATAGTCAGTACGTCAGTGGTGTCAATGTCTCTGACCTCTCTTTCTCTCACTCTTTCTCTCACTCTTTCTCTCA